AGAACTGCAACAACCATAGCGATAACTCTTAATTCCCTTCTCCTGCAACACTATCGTTGATATGACTGTGATAAGCGCGTGCTTCTGACGCTGCGTGCAACTGAAATAAACCACACACTCATCACGATGAAAACATTGACTTTAGAAATAACGAACGTGAACACTGAGATTACGCTGATGTATATGGAGAACCCCAGTTGAAATGCATACACAAGAATGTTTATTTCATTTAACCTGTTTTCATGTTCGTTACTATTAACTTGTCCTCCGAGTGATTACAAGCTCTAAACTGCCTTTTGCTCCAGCTGTATAAACACTAGGGGTGGGAATCACCAGAGGCCTCACGGTACGATATTATCACGATACTTGTGTCACGATACAATATTATTGCGATTTTAAATATATTGCGATATATTGCAATGTATTACCTTTTTCCAACTTCAAATTATGTCTCCAAAGTAAAACTTTGACAACATCTGTTTTAACTAAAAAGAAACATTTCTCAGTTTATTTATCTCACTTCAGTTTTATTGTTGCAGTGCAAAATGGGATTGTCAAGCAGAAAAACGGACCAACACTTTCATGAAAACCTGTCATCAATGCTGCATGCACCTGGCAAACTCAACTATTTGTATTACAGTCTAATCTAGTCCACCTTAATTAAATGTAAACAGGTATGCACTGCTGTGCTACTACAGGTATTTTGAACAATGCAACTTGAAATTGTACTAAAAAGTTGTGCAGACCCTTCAGCAATTGGGGCATTTGAAAGTAAATTACTGTTACATTTAAATTAAATTAAATAAAACGTGTAGTCTTACATCTAGGGATGCACCGAAATGAAAATTCTGGGACGAAACGGAAACGAAAATTCTGGATGCACTTGGCCGAAAACCGAAACTGCTTTATATTATTTAATAAAATAATAAATAATCAATACAAAGCATTTTCGGTTTCGGTTTTCGGCCAAGTGCATCCAGAATTTTCGGTTTCCGTTTCGGCCCAGAATTTTCATTTCAGTGCATCCCTAGATGTAAGACTACATGTTTTATTT